CTTTCGTCGTTTGTATTTGAACGACGCTGTCACCGACTTCAGTTTCGGCAATCCTGGTCTGAAGTAACCTTGCTATCCATCTTCGGATGGTTGGCTTAACGTTATGGACGTATAGGCGTTATCGAAGGCCCCCTCGATATCGAGGAAGGCACAGAGCACCACCTCATCACACTCAAAGGCCCCTTGTATTTCCTCCGTTAAGTCGCTAGCTTAAGTGGTGGAAAAAGTTTGTTTATCGGTTGCTTCTTTTACCTTTAAGTAACGCAGAAGTTGAAAGGACGTTTTCTATAATAAATTTCGTTAAAAATAAGCACAGAAATAAAATGAATTTTGCAATGTTAAACGCTTTATTAACTGTAAGATATGGCTTAAAAAATGTACAGAATTGTTGTCATGATTTTGAAATTACAGATGATATCGTCAGGTTAATGAGAAATGAACAAAATTGTAACGACGAAGAATCGCTTAGCGCTGATAGTATTGATATAGATATAGATATTTAATGTGTTAAAAAAATTTTTATAGATTAAATTATTTTACTATTGGGCAATTCACAAGGTGTCGTATTTGTCGTGTTTGTCGTGAAGTCATGATATTTCATGACAGTTGTAAAAATGTTGTTATTGTTTTGTGAAGAAAAATAACACATGACGATACAACTCTGCAACCTATGTTTATTCGGTGTTATGTGAGGTTAAGTGCTGAGATATAATAAATAATCGTAACAGGTGTTCACAACCGTCGTGTTTTAACACAACTTTTGTTAGGAAAATATAACTTCACAACACCTTGTGAATTGCCCATATGAGTTCATTAAATGAATACTCTTTTGTTTGTTTGATACATACAGCGTCAGACAATAATAAAGCACCGACATTTTAATTCTTTGTAAATTATAACATAACATTTTAAAAATGTCTTTTACAAATGGATATTTTTCGAAGCATAGTTTGAAATTATTTAAGTTATTTAGTATTGTCCGACACTGTATATAGATATGATTCTAGTACTTATGTATTCTTAATGTGATCTCATTTTTTTGTTTATGTAAGAAATTAATTTTTAAACTGTACATACATATGTATATGTATGTTTTTTACGTTTCTGGGCCGTTATCTTATCCATTAACGATTTAACTATACTTTAAAATAGGTAAGTTGGCGGCCCTTAATATGCTTTATGTGTTACACAACAAGTTTTTTTGTTGAATAAAATATTAATTCTTTCCAGAGTTCATTGTTTTTCTATATCATTACTTATAGAAAATGTTTGCGTGTATACTTATATATTTATATGTAGGTAAAAAAATTTAGCTACCATTTTTAGCCACAACGACGATTTTTAGCTCTTTTTTAGCCCTTTTTTAGCCTGAATTTAGCTACCGCTAAAAATGTTTCGCGGCAACACTGCTTAGAAGTTGAAGGCAGAGAACCGCTCCAACAATAGTCAGCCATCATGTGTGCGTTCCGGTTGCCTTAATAGCGTTGTCCGTGGTGAAAGCTGCATATAACTCGTAAACAATAGCTGCTGGAAAACAAATGAGGCTATATATTTTTGGAATGAGCGACTGAAATTAGTAAAAATTATGTTATAATTCATTTACAAATGCAAAAAGTGCAATTTTGCTGGCGAGTTTTATTTATATTATACGGCATCATCTATTGCTATTTTGCGGACGGGATTACAAAATTTGTTATATTTGAAAGACTTCCACTAAAATATTTCGAAAAAATATTAAGATTTACGTGAGCTAGACCGATTTGAAAACACATCCAAAAATTAAATTTTATATGAATAAAATTTTTTCTTAAGCATTTTTTGAAAAAATCGCCTCAGATGGCAAAACTGTTTAAGCTTAAAAAATCAGCATAAAAAGATAAAAAATGTTTAAGTTTTGATGCTGTTTTTTAAATATTTTCAAAGATTGGTTTAAGGAAAACTTGAATATCTGGGTCAAAACTATATGATTTACACTTACGTATGAAGTATCAATGGAAACGTATTATCTCACCCTTTTTATTTCTTGCAGAAATACTAATTCACGTCACGTTTTGTTTATAAACATACATACATACATACATGTGAATCAACAAATCTTAATTCAACTTGGAATTGCGTTGTTGTTGTTGTTGTAGCGGCTACCACAACCCCGCCCAGATCGGTCAATATCTCAGTCGATGTAAGTCAAGTTCCACTTACGGCAGACCTAAGAAGCTTGCAGTCTCAGTAGGGTCGGTCTTCAGGGACTTTGGCGTTAGGGTGGTCGGGTTTTCCGTGCATACGAAGAGATGTTTCGAGTCATGGGGTGTCTCATTGTCGCATGCCGGACACTTATTTGGTACATCTGCGTTTAGTCTGCTCAGGTATGAGTTTAACCTGCTGCAGTAGCCAGAGCGAAGTTTGGCTATTGCGGTTCTAGACTCCCGAGGCAGATGAAGCTCCGTCTCGTCAATGTTCGGTGGTTGTGCGCCTAGAACGGCATTCACAGGTTTGGAGTCTACATAAATCGAGACTGACTCCCTGTGAATGCCGTTCAGGTCCTGTCGATAAGCTGGCGGGTCCAGAGGTTGTTTACTGAACCTCTGAACTTCGTCCGTCAGTTCGTAGAGATGCCTCCTGACGTTGCTGGGCTCTTCTGCAAGCCTATTTGGGGGACCACGTCTATGGCTCCCAACAAGAAACTGCTGAAATAAATAAAAATGACTGGTAACATTTTTCCGTTATTGAATAAAAATTTCTCCCTCCATTTTAGAGGGAGTGAACGGGTGGTCAAGGACACCCTTATAATATGTAAAAGTTGATATTGCAAAACAATGTATCCGCCAAAATATTATTAAAAAATATCTATGGCGATTTCATAATGAAGCAATCAAGCACACACACGTTTACGTGAAAGCATGGAGGTGATTCCACCTCATCTTCCCGTTGACAGCTGATACAAAAGGGATAAGTTGTAATTCCTAGTCTTACCGCGTGAGTACCAATCGCACAATGGCCTGTCAGAACCCCCATCACTAGCCCTAATTCCTATTACTTTTTAGTCAATATACTACTCGCAATTAATTTTTCAGGTGTTATTAAGTAGTTGCGAGATTAAGAGTTTCTATATAAAATTAAAGCCGACCCCGCGACGACCGCTAACCAATTGGACTGACTGACGGCAGGCTATTTCACTACATCACAAAGATGACATAATATAAAAAATTCAGCTTTTATAAAATGCTTACAACCTATGCCTATCTTGGCTTAAATCTTGTTTCATGAATTACTTTGGGCTAGAGACCTCACCTAATTTCGATAGCTCCCCTGCAGCAGTACAAGGCAACGACTTTTTTACCCTTTCCCCAGGACCAAGCCTAAGTACTTGACCCTGTCTGAGGCCGACCAAAAATATTGATGGACCATCCGAGCCCTTATGCAATGCAAATTTCCTGTTTTCAAAAAAAAAATAAAAAATTTGTCCGAAATGGAAGATGGCAGAAATTTTCATGTTTTATAACAGTCGAAGAATGGCCTCCATTTGATCAAGCATAAACCGGTTGGACTAAAGCAAATCGGATGAAATACTGTTTCCAAGGTGTGAGGGGTAAGCCTTCTAAAATAAAAGAACACCTTTTTTTAACATTTGGCTGCCGGCAAAGCGACGCAAATAAATTTTTTGTGGATATCAAATTAAAGTAAAGAAACTGTAAATATTAAAATGCATACATTCAATGACCTCTGCTGCTCGCTATCAGGTGAGTTGCCGTTGTGGCCTACTAAGAAACTTGTATGTATGTGTGTGTAGAATGAAAATTGAAATGTTTGTATATTTTGGCGATTATAAGAAATTTATTGACACAAGGAATTATCAACAAAACGTCGTTGCATCACTTGGTCGCCTCACAATAGCTTAAGTAAAATTAGGTATTCAATATTGGTTGTTCGTTGTCTGCAGCCCATTGCACCCTTTGCGACAGAGCCCTTAACCCGTTGCACTTACACATAGATTCGGGTGGTGAAAAAGAAACTGCAGCTGCAACTTTATCCAATTATAACTTGTACAAGTAGAAAAATAAATATCAGAAAGCAAGAAATGCAACTGCATGCATTTATTCGCAATATAAATTACATATAAGGATTCATATACTATACATATGTATGTAAATAGATGCATATGCGAGCGTCAGAAAAATGCAATTGCAGTTTCTTTCTTGGGGTAGTTTATGCACTTTTTTTTTTTAGTTTTATTTCATAGAAATCTGCAGCAAGGATGCGTCTGACAACGGTAGCTTCACGCAAGAAGTTATGAACTTTGACAATAACAACAAACATGAATTGAAAGTGGCAAAACAGCAACTATGCATACAAAATACTAGTAACAATAACAACAATGAATGCACTTTTAGAACAATGCATGTGTTGAAAGCTGACATTCGCCGTTTGCCAATGCGAATGCATACATACGTACTTATTTTTGCGCGCATTTAATATATCCTTTAAGGACAAAAAAAAAAAAAACAAATTTGCATAATTTGAATTATTGCTGTGTAATTCGTGTACTACGATTCTTATATAGCTTGCGCTTGCTTGGAAAATTGCAATATTTAATTTTGCTTTTTCTTATTTTATCTACTCGTTTCAGTTAGTCCTTTGCCTAGACAAACAGACAGACAGACGCGTGGTGAAATTAAAATTTCCATTTTATTCAATTTCACCTCAGTTACGTGAACCAAAATGCAGCATCATGCACATGTTGCACGCACAGCTCCGCCGCATATGCGTGCCCATCACATGGCAGTGCCGCCGCCGCACTCGCAGACTCAGTCGCACATGCCGCGTTTGAATATGACACATGTACCACCGCCGCCAACTGGACAACAGCAACAGCAACAGCCACTGCAAAGCAGCCAGCAGCAAAATCAGCCCCAACATCTTACCAATGGTCCAGCGCCGAGCAGCGGTGGCGGCAGCGCTGCAGTCATCACCGGATCGAAAATTGGCGCGCCATCGCATATGCGCGATCATCATACGCGGTAAGCTACATATGTTCTAAATTTAATATAGTTTTAACACTTTTTTTGTCAGGTTTTCAATTAACATTCCCTTGCCGGTTCTTTCTAACATATCCCGCGCCGCGCCGCGCGATCGTAATTATGTAAATGTCTCTGTCTGCAAGCGCAAAACAAGCAATCGGGCGCACTGTCGCTTTATGTGATTTCCTTTGGCCTTTTGTATTTTCTCAACTAATAAATTATAATTTCATTCTTTACTTTGGCTGCCTTGCGGTGTTTTTTTTTTTTTTTGTTTTGCTCTATGCAACAGAGTGTAGTCACCTTTGCAAATAGCTGTCGGTGTGGCGGCCTAGCCAAATGATGGGTAAGCGAGGCAGCCAAGCCGCCTAGCTTCCTTTATTCACAGCATGACTTCCGTTCAGGCGTAACGAGTTATCTTTCTGTTATCCTACCCTGTCTTCTGTAAGTATGCGTGCACTCTTCCTGCTTGTGTGTGCTTCTCAATGTACATATGTATGTAGTATTCAGTATATTCTATGTGCTTGTCACTTCCCCGCAAAAATCGTTGGACCATGTGGTATATTTGTGGTATATTGGAGTACTTACAAAAGTGCTTCTCTGTCATGCTGTAGCGGACCAACTCGTGTCTCTGCACCAGCTTAATGTTACCCGATCACTGCATGTGTTTTAACGAAATGTGATTGAAGTTGAGCATTTGAAAGCACTGTGGCTGTAGCTAAACGTGTAGAGATGCTTGCTCTTATTTGTTAGCTGCCAGCAGGTTCGGGTTCGAATGCCGTCAGAGGCAGTATGCCATTTTTTATTTTTATTTTTGTTTTTGGTTTTTATTAACTGCGAAAAACCATCTGTGAAGTGAAGAACAAAAGCGTGTACAAACGAAAAAAATATACCAACAATGCCGTTGTTAATATGTTGGAGTATATGGTCCTGCACTAGGACATCGCAATGTTAATTGGACCACATTTTATATATGAATTGTGGGTAATTTTGGAGTACTCCTTGACCCTTAAAGAGTACTCCCTTACATGCATGCATGCAGTAGTCGCGATTTTTGCAGTGTTACCGCGCATGCCATTTTCCCACTTCAAATTGAAGTAGTGGTGGCATTTGTAGTTACCCAATTTACCAAACATCTTCGAATTGAATTCTATTCTACTCGTTTTGGTAAACAATTTGTACGCCCCGGTGAACTTTTCAGCCGATCAAAAGCCGCAAAAACGACTCGTCTGCTGTTAGGAAAAACAATGCACCAGCGCACTGCAAAACTATGCAGAAATTGTATGCAGTACTACAAAATTAAAATTTGGCATTTTTTAATTTTTTATTCAAAAATAATTTAATGTTACTATGTATTTTTTAATGCATTAATTAAAAAAGAACAAGGATAATATTGAAAATATGGTGAGTGTCAGTGAAAATCGTACAGTAAATTTTTCCCATTTTTTAATATTTTATGTAAATTTTAGTACTTTTACAAGCTATTATTTAACTTGATCTGTATGTATGTACACTGCCAGGACAAACTATTGGCACAGCAAATTTTTCACAATATATGCAACAATGTTTTTTCTAATATTTTTTCGCCAATTTTGTATAAAATGTTCTTTCTACAACAAAAAAAAAATATAATACTTTAACTTTGTGCAAAACTCACGAAAATTCAGCAAATTTTCAAATTTTTAATCAGATTTAAACAAATTTTTATCAGTATGCAGGTTATCGCCCAATCAATTGTATTAAATAAAGTACAAGTTTTAAGTAGCGAGGAATTACCGTTGATTTTTGACAATTTTTTTTTCACGCAGTCTCTTCCATACAAAAATTTTTTTTCGAAAATACTTTATATGGAAAAAATTCAAAACACCTTCAAAAAAAAAAATTGTCAAAAATCAATGCGATTTTTGACTAACTCCGAACTTGCTAGAATTAAATTAATGGGCTGCAAAACTGCATACTCAAATAAATTGTAAAAAATGTGATTAAAAAGGTGAACATTTGCTGAATTTCCGCGAGTTTTGCGCAAAGTTTAGGTATTATATTTTTGTGCTGTAGAATGAACCATATTTTTATACAAAATTAGCGGAAAAATATTAGAATAAAAATGTATGCTATGTTCTCTCCTCCTGTTTTCTTTTCTTTTCATTGAATTGTTCAAAACCAATAATTAATTTCCCCAAAGTTTGCATAATTTATTTTTATTTTTTTATTTAATTTAATTCAGTCAAATGAGTAATAATTCTTGCTGACCATAACAAAACAGCTTGATGGTAAAGTTCCTATGGGAAGCGACAGGTACAGCTCGGAAATTTGATTTAATTCCGATTGTGTTCTTGATAAGAGACCATTTACATACATACATACATATTTAGATTTCGAAAATCCTACATACAATAAGGGAACGCGTCGCAGGTAATGTAATACAGTGTTTACATGAGGTAATTATACAGAGAACTTTTAGTTGGAAGCAACAATTGCCTGGTGTGAACGGCCTCTCAACTAATCGCTTCCAATGAAGGTGGGGGCTAACCAACTTTTGATTCAAATAATCGCCTCATGTGAACATTGTTTAAAGGAACATTCAAAAACGATATTTCTAAGTGAGAACTGTAATCATTTACGCATATAAAACACTGACGACAAAATTACATTTTTAAATCAATACTAGAATAGGCGCGATATCGACTAATCAGTTTGGTTACGTTTGCCTCTGAACCCATACAAGCAAGTGTTTCTTTTTCAACTGCAAACAATTCTTTAAGTATCATGAATTATTCACGTGAAGGTATTTATCATTTATATATCAAAAAATTTACTTGGAAATGTAGATGCTAAAGATAACGAGTAAAAGAAATGTGAGTACCCCTTCGTAGCATGTTTTAGAGAATTTCCTGTAATTTCTGAGCATAAAATTTGAACTTTTCGCACTTTTTTCTGTAATTTCGCGAAATAAATTTTTCGAACAAAGGTAAAATATCCCCATAAATTTTAGAATTGAGAATAATTTTTAGGTGGAAAGCAGATAACAAGGACCATATGTTCTGCGAATTGCAGACGTTATAGCAATCCAGTCATTCCCATAATTTATATTTAGGTTTTTCTAATAAAAGAGAGAGCACAAACTAAATTTCATCGAAATCAGATACAAAATTTAATGTTTCCCCGCACAAGAATGGAGGGCGTGACAATTATCCCATCTTTACTATGTATGTATATTTCATAATTCTCTATTCCTAAGAGCTCGATTCGAATTCGTCCTCGTTCTCTGGTAAATTGGGTAGTTGGCAGTTGAAACACATATGTACATACATCATTTACAACTATCAAAGCCAATTTTCTGTGTTCTGCGTATACTTTCCTGTTTTGCCCTCTAAGAAATTTCCCGAAACAGATATAGTTGTGGGCATATAGCGTGTATATACATAGATGTATGTATGTTCATATATGTACATTAGGCTGGGCCAAATTGTTCGGGTGAGAGAGAAAAAATGCGAAAGGCGTATAGCAAAAACCAAAATTACGCTAAATTCTAAGAAAATTACCCAAAGAAACTAGGGGTTTAAAATTAAAACTTAGACCGCGCCGAGTGGCAAAAATATTTCAGTTTGAGGTATGTTTTTTAAAACCACTGCATAGATTTTTATGTCTCTCGGCGGGAGCTTGATTTTTATTTTAGTCGCATAGTTTCTTGGGGCAGTTTTCTTAGAATTGTTCGTAAACTACGTTTTTGNAAAAAAAAAAAAAAAAAAAAAAAAACCCCACCCTAATGTACATACATACACAGCGAGCATGCATTCTTACAGATAATTTTTCACCGCCTTTGAAAAAGTTTATTTCATGCTTCCATTAGATCAAAAAAAAACAGTTGGCCATTGTTTCGCTTGAGAGTAACGTGTGAAAATTCAAATTTTTTATTTGCATTTTGCATAAATTATACATATGTACATACATACATAGTACATACAGTGGTGGAAGAAATAATAGAAACATTTTACTTTGACCAGTTTTGGCTATATTATTTTGTTTATTCGATGTATAATATTTTTGTATAAAAGTCTAGCGCAATATATAACACACACCATATAAATCCACATTTCAAAGTTTGTACAAAAATTTAACAAATTTTATCAAAATCCCCCAAAAATTTCAAACTTTTTAATCAGCTTTTTTTTTGATGCGATTTTCTAGCTTCTTGCGGTCTGCACTTTTACCTCCTAAAATTTAATGGGCTATGAAACTGCGTATCCAAAATTTAAAAAAAAAATCTGATTAAGAAGTTTGAAATTTTTGGGGGATTTTGTTAAAATTTGTTGAATTTTTATAATTTTTGCACAAACTTTGAAATATGGATTTATATAGTGTGCGTTATATATTGCGCTAGACTTTTATAGAAAAACATTAAACATTGAATAAACAAAGTAATATAGCCAAAACTGGTCAAAGTAAAAAGTTTCTATTATTTCTTCCACCACTGTACATACATAGTACATACATACATATGAATGTGCACGCATAAAAATGTCTAAAAATGTTTCCAACAGATTGTTGTTGTAGTTGCATAGGAGAACTTCAATTAAGTAATATTCGATTCTGTCTAGAACTACTTCGCTAATCGCCAATCGCCAAGTAGAGCTTCACGCTGAAAATAACGGGCTTGGGACCACAGCTATTAAATTATGTAGATTACTCATTTGGCGACAGCTTTCTTCGCTGTCGCTTTTGATCAGCTCAGTCGGTATTCAAGCGGCTCCAGAGTCCAGAGGAGGTAGTGAGCAACTGGATTCTTCTTCATCAGACACTCCATCGGTGTCGCCAACAAAAGCGTTAAGAAGTGTTCCCTCCAAATCGCAAGTATATTATTGATGTCTGTTACCATATTTCCATCTTCGTCTCTTCAGAAAACCCTGCCTTAGTACTAGAATATTTTTATATATACTCACCTCCTTTTTTCCCGGTGTCGTTTTATCGTCGCACGCTCGCAATTGGCTACAGATTGGTTTTGT